CAATGTAGGTTTTAGAATATTCAGTCTTTCTTCAGTTTTTCGGTATAAGTTCTAAAAATCAATTTAATTTAATGTACTCAGCAAACCAGAAATGTTATTATAAATCATGCAAGTTTATGTGTTGTTGCAAATGTTTTAAGAATTTTAAATACGAATTTAGTGTAACATTTATATGGTCTTTTGTCTGAATATTATTTGTGGAAGTAAAAATAAAATAAATAAATAAATAATTTCCGAGCCAATAGGGCTCATAAGGTTGGGGCTTATCCCCAGTTTCTGTAGCATGAAGCGGATGAGAGTGTGCTGCTCCCCCTGGGCGGATGCTGGTCCACTGCAGTTACTCCCAGCTTTTACTGGTACTCATTGATAACAACTGGGTAATGCAGATAAAGTGCCTTGCACAGAGGATTGAAACTCCATCATACAACGCATACAGTAGGCCTACTTATTTTATAATTATTATTTGTAATTGTATTTATTCCATCAACAAACAAATTTATAGAAACAAACAAAAGCACTGGTCGTTGTGTAACATATCAGATGATTCAACTGAATAATGAACTTTTCCTTATAAAAGCTTTCCCTGAGGGGCTGTTCACAACTATTAACATTTTCGCAAGACTTGTACATTTATTTTCTTTACCCCTCCCTCCTCTCTTAAAATGTAGGGCCCTCATAACAAAATGCTGATCAGCAACAAAAGTAGGCCTACTGTACTTGATTATCATAAAAATGTATTTCAACATGGTGGTTACATTATATTGGTCTTGAAAATCTATTATTTTAAGTATTTTATGTTATTTTGAATCAACATTTTCATGCATAAAGTGTAACAATTCTTTCTTCCTCCCTTCCCCTAGCATACTGTTTGTAAACTTGTGAAATTGTTGATAATTGTGAATGGCCCCCAAATTACAAAACCAGACATAGGCCTATATCTGTCTCTTATACACATCTCATGATTTAAAACTGATAATGACATTGACAACTCCCCCATTCGTCAGTGACAGTGCCGCCTGTTTCACTAGGGTAACGTAGATTTCAAAGAAATTGGCGACAATGTTCAACCCATTATATCTTTTGAACGAAGTGGCCGAATAAGGTCCGGTAAAAAGCATATCCTAGAGGTCTGTGGTCAGCCTTCAATGAGCGTATTTTTAAAAGGTATAAATCGAAGTGGAAAGGATCCATTTCGACATGGCAGTTTAGCACTAATATCACCCCTTATCAAGGCCCAAAATAAAA